CTGATTATCAATTATGGTTCCTTATGAATAATAAATCTGATGTTGATCACAGGTATCAGATTTAATTAAAATTTCCTGTCACAAACATATGGTTGGGTGCTTTCACACACCCTCATAATCGTGGAATTTTTTTCCACAGGTGAAGGCCCCCACATGTTGGAAGGCTTTGGACAAAACTTTTCCCTATCTTCCTCTCAGACCAGGCTTGGTTGTTACACATATGGGCATTGATTGCTGATAGCTGGCATTTGTGTGATGATTGCTGCGTGTTATACACCTCGAGTACAAAGTTGGCACCTGCAACTGGTTTGAAATTCTGCAACTCAGGAGGTTGCAACCTGGGTCTTTGTTTTGGATTTTCCCTGAATTCAGAGTTTTGAGTCCTGGGTTGTTGTAATTTTTATGAAAAGAAAAGTATTAATATTTAACAATTAATTATTTAATTGTTTATTTTGTTGAAAAAAATATACATTGATAGTGTACATTTTCTGTGCTTAACATCCCATGTGACCCTAAAGTCTGGACAAAAGATCACTTTCTATGAGTTTGGCTGGTATATCCCAAAGGCGTCCCCTATCTTGTCAGTGGCATGCCTACTCACCAACAACTTACCCCCATTTACTAAAATAACAAATTCAGTTGGTCAGATAAAAATTAAAGAGAAGCAGAAAATTTGGGAAAATGATTAATTTATAACAAAACATACCAAACAAAATCCGAACCATTTTATAACTTTTTTCTTGTCAGCCATATTGCTGACAAGGATGCATATAATCATGCAATAATTTTAACCTACAGGACAGAGAACTGTTTGGGCAAAAACCCCTACCCAAAATTATAAATTGGTTATATCAAAAAAAAACAGAACATTTATGAAAATGATTATACAATACAAACACTATTTTACAACTTCCCTCTTAACATCAGAGTCTAAATGCAATTTCAGGGCCACCAACCCTGCTCTGAATTGCGACCTCTTGTGCTTGAACGAGCTGCAGATTCTCTTAATATTCATCAGCAGAGTTGCGACTTGGTCACAGAGCCATCCTTACCCTAGAGGCAGGATCGTTGCAGGAAACTTTTCGGCCAGCGTGTCAACAGCCATCTCTGGTCTGGGAGGATTAGTGAAAGCATCATTGATGATTGGTGCAGATGGTAAACTCCAGAACCATGCTCCCCCCCCCCCCTGGAATTTGGTATCATCATTGTATCATCGGGAGATGAAGTCAGATTAGCCTTATGTACACGAGGAATGTGAGAGAATGACTGTAATGTGTTCAAGGTAACATGCGTGCTTCAACGCCTGCCATTTTCCTGTAATCAAATGTCACATACTCAAAATGTCTCTTTTTCAATGGGTGTGCTGCCTTGACATCTTCTTGTGATTATATAGTAATACTAATATTATTAATATTATGGATTACGAAAAGTAAAATATTATCAATGAAAATCTTGTAATTACCCAGCAAGATCTGCTCCGCGTTTTGATTTCCAATTAAAATGTTTATATAAAATAAAAATATCAATCAATACAAGTAAAAAATAGTACCTCTGGTTAGTTATTAACGCGTTTTCTTTAGTAGACCCAAACCAAACCAAACAACAACACTCACGTTTTGTCACCTTGGACTCTGTCAAAAAATAAATTGTTTTTATTGTTTTTCCAAAAAAAAATCAATTCGCGTTTGTCCTACCCAAAAAAAAACCAATAGGATAAATAATTAATGTGTACGCGTCGATCATATCACAAACTTTTATTTTTTTAGAAAATTAAAAAAAATGTCAACGAGAAACGTCGATAGAAGAAAACAACAAAATTATTTGGAAGAAGATCATGGGTAAGTGTTTTAAGGATGGTGGTGGTGGTTATCACCCGCCACTCGTCATCACTCTAGTTATAGTAATTTTTAAAAAATGGTAGTGGTTGGTTATTACAATTTGCAACTTGTCGCCTAGTTTTTATAAGAACATATATTTCACGTGAACAATTCATATCAATACCTTGTTCTAATGGATTTTTTATTTAATAAATAGTGGATATAAATGTATTTTGGTATATGAAGGGAGCAAATTGTTACTTTACTTAGAACCAGGAAAGTTTTTAGGTGAATTTATAGAAGAATTAAAAGTTGATTTGATTTGGGGTGATTTAATAGAGGATAAAGAAGTTGTATTAACAATCAATGATTCTATCGACAATCTTTTTCAAATAATATTGACTGAGGTTAGAAAAATATTTTATTGTAAAAATTGAATTTAAAAAATTGTTTATTGCAATAATTATTTTTTAAAAATTTTTTTTTAAATTATAAGGATAATAAACACATGAATGAAATTACATTTAACAACATAATTGAAGCTCACAAAAGGCATCAGAAATTACATGATCTTTATCCAAGTGATCTTGTTATTCTTGTTTCTTTACAAGTTCGACTTATTCCATACTTTCAGCAATTCCTTTATGAAGATAGTGAAGAATGTGGTGATGCTGATGTAAATGATGATTTGTTAAAAGACACTGATTACACAGAAAATGAATTTGCCATTGAAAAATTCAAAAAAAAAATTCTAAAAGTAAGATAATTCTAGTTCTCAATAACAGATTATTTGCTTATTCATTATAGATGCTGCCCAAATTAAATCCAATATCTCAAATAATTTGGAATTTGGGCAGCATGTATATTATTCATCATTAACTCTATTATTATAAATTTAGTATATCAAATCACATGATAACATTCCATCTTATACACTTGAAATGGCAAATTCGATTCTCAGCTGTGATGAAATTCAAAGCAACCATTTATTGTTTGAAGGAATTTTATGTTGTTCATACTTGGAAAAAGAACAACCAAAACTTTACAAGCAAATTGAAACAAAAAAAAATTTGAACTATTTTAAGTTGGATGTTGAAAGATATAAGGCTCAATTATCAGATAATCAAATGAAATTAATAAAAGATTTGATCATCCACAACACTCTTGATTATAGGATTACTAGTCAAAATCAAAAACTAGATCTTGCAATAATTAATTTAGTAGATAGCTTTAAAAAGATATGGAAATTAAAATGTTATCAACGATCTGATAAGTATGTAAATGAAAAGACATTTGGGCATAATATTGTGGATAAAATAATTGATTTCATATTCTATGATATAGTTGCAGAATCTAAATGGTAACTCATGAGTTTATTAATCATAATATTAATCATAATGATGTATCATAGATATTACATATGTTAATACATATGTATTATTATTTAAAGGGATGGATGTCCAGCACAGTCTACTAAATTCAGAAATGCCACCCAAAATATAACTAGGTATCCAGATTTTTATGCTTATGAGGAAAACTATGGGTATTTCTTTAATCATGAATATTTATTTCTAGAGATCAGTAATGGTCCCTGGGCTACCGGGAATGATCACATTAAACATGTAAACGAGGATAGGTTTAGATTATGTAAATTTCAGAAAGATGCACATAAATATGTATATTACATATTGAAAAACAAAAATCTGAAGCATCTTAAATCATTATTAGATAATATTGTGTTTATATCAATTCATTTTTATGAGTTAAAAATGGATATTAATATAATGGATTGTAAAATGAAACCATTTTACATAATAAATCCATTCCACCACTTCGTCATTTAGGTCAAAAAGAATCAATAGATTCTTTGGTTTCTTTATGTCAATCATTATTTATATTAAATCATATAATAAAGGAAAATATCATCAACATTTGGTAAATTAAACCAAGAAATAAATGCAACAATATCAACACCAACAAATCAACCAATCACGACTTTAGAACCTGGTTCTGGTGGAAGTATCTTCACTACAAATTGTACACCATAATTCAAATAATGACATGGATGAGCTTGGTCTTGAGTCACTCTACAATTATACAATTAACTACTTTATTGAAAAATGTGAGGATTATATAAAAGAAAATCCAGTTAAAATTCTACAATCAGTTTATTCTAATACTAATGAACAATTTATGGGAATTGAAAAGTATCTTCCTATTTTTAGTAATTACTATTGATAGAAAAAGTACATATTCTAGATAGATTAAATTAAAAAATTTTTCATTGTAGTCAAACTAAGATATATTTAATTTAATATTCCTGGAAAAAAAAATATTGTTTTTTATTTGCATTTTTTAATATATTGTAAGATGGAAATTTGACTTGTATTTGAGTTAACTCTAAATTCAATATATCTTAAAAATTAATAAACTATTAAACAAATTTATAAACTAATACACAGGAATTACTTCCATAATTGGAACTCCATCTGGTCACCATGATGCTTTCTTTATTATTTTTCTTTCTTCTTGGTAAATTTCATAAGTAATCTTTTCTTTCATTAGATAAGCTTCAATTGCCTGAGTATCATTTATTTTGAAAATGTAAGGAGCAATTTTTTCACCTTGTTCTTTTTTTAAAATACTTCAGATAGTACTATAATTCTTGGGTTCCATTGTAGATCTGATGTAAATTAATTTCATATTATTATTTTTATATAGGGGTAATTCTATATATTAATATTAAGAAAAAACAAATATAACAAATGGGGGATTTTAATAATCACATTACTAAACTTTGATCCCTGAAATTCTTGGTAATACAAATGTTCACTTTGTCTGGTTTTGTTGCAGCATGCCCCATATGATCTTTGTACTATTGGAAAAAGTTGAATATAAGTTATAAGTTAATCAAATATATAAAATAAATACTTATTTCTTTAAAGTATAATAATAATGAGAATAGAGAATAAGTCTTTGCCTGCAAGTATAATAATGACTTATTAATAAAGGAAAATGTTATCATTCACATTTAAAAAAAAAAATAAATAATAATAATAAATAATTGACACAATTCTGACATACAAGATAAGATCACAGAAGCCTTGAACTTTAATTCTAAGGTAACCTATTGAAATCAAATTGATTAAAGTTTTACCAAAATATAAAGAAAAGTCAAAGCAATATATCTATATATATATAAAAAATCCATATAATGGGTTTTGTGCGCAGTCACGCGACTTTTTTTCTATTCTAAATTCAATTGAAATAGCAAGTTTCACAATATAAAAAAGATCGACGATCGAATTTTGTCACTATGCCACTTCCAAAATATGGATTTTCCTTTATTTATTCATTTGTACAGACATTAGATGTATCATTAAAGTATTAACTAGTTATTAAATATAAATATCCAATGTCATGAAACATCATGAATGTTCTAGTATTCTTAATTGCCATAAGCATTGAAAGATTCCAAGTATTACGAATATTTGAAACATTACGAATGTTTGAAAACTTGCATATGGAATGTCCACTAACAAAAAGGAGGTCAGAGACTATTAAATTGTCTGTGTAATCATCAAAAGATATAAATATTTCAAGACTTGTACCAACTGTAATCCTTATGATATAGATATACACTCAATTTTATCAGGGGTCCTCAGACTCCCCATATTAATATTGGACATCCCATATGATTTCGAACATTAATATTAATATTAATATGATGTCCAAAAACTTTCGAACATTCGAACATGAACACTATGTCCATATATTATTAATATGAAAGAACAGGTAATTTTGTATTACAATTTTTTATTATGCAAAATTAATTTAAAACCCAAGTACAAGTCCTACGTGAAACAATGTATTCTTCTTTTGCCGATAGTAATAGGTCAATCATAATAATAAGGGATAATCAGAGTCCTCCTCGATATATATAATTAATTATCGCATAAATATTGGTTTTTTATATAAATATTAACTGTTGCCAAGCGTTCGTTAAATGTTTAGCATCCATTTTAATATGGTTTGTTTTTCCTCAGAATCAGGACAAAATCTGATTTCCCGGATAGAAATTTTCAGAAGAAGGAATTGAAGAAGCTGCATCATTGTTTTTAAAATGATGGAGCTTAAGATGTAATTGAAACTTTTCTATATGCCATCTAGTAAAAGGGGAATATGATTTAAATTATTAGATGTTGGTTAGTTGAATCAGCTGTAACCCATGATCTAAGGGATAATCTTTTCCCAGTTATATCCCATTGAACTTCAGTGATTTACTAGTGGCCAACATCAGTTTGTGAATTATTGAGTAAACTCACCCCAGAGTGCCTAATTCTTTTTACATTTGAAGAAGAATTTGGTTGTGAACATGAGTCACAGCCAACTGAGTAAGACTACATATAATTTTTAAAAAATTTTTAATTATTTTAAATAAATAAGTAAAAATTGTTTTTTGTCAAAAAAAAAAAAACTGTATGTCATGACAACTAGTACTGGTAGTATTAATTTAATTTAATTTTTAGAATATAGAAATTTTTAATAAAAAATTCTGTTGCAAGTGTCACGCGAAAGTTGTAAAAAACCTATTTATTTATGCGTGATATTTTATCCACCTGTGACGTATTGCAATATATAACAACGGCTGGTACAGTATCAAGGACTTCGTAATCCTTTAGAGCAATGATTCTACGATTATTTTACAGTAATAATTACGCGATTTTAATTTCACGTAAATCGCGTATTAGCATTAAAGTTATTGAACTTTAAAATTTTTCCTTTTGCCCAACAAATATTATTTTAAAGGAATAATTGATTTATTAGTCTTTTAATAAACAATTTAAACGTTTTCTGTCAGAATAGATTAATTGTTTCAAGTTGAAATTATCCAAAACAATTAAATTTTCATCCTTTGTGTTTGATGATGTATTGTTGTTCCCTATTTTTCAGAGAATTAAGTTACACGAAATGTTTAAATTTGTTTAATATTAAAAATATTTAAATATGTGGATGGAACTTGTAAAAAATTTTTATTATTTATTTTATTGAATTACAAATAAATTTAAAAAAATATATAATATAAAATTATTATTATTAATAAATTTCTTTTCTCTCCATTCCTTCAAATAATTACCTTACGTTTAATTTTATATAATCCTTTCTTCTTTCCCTCTTATTTTTTTTTAGTATTTAACCATTCTAACTGATTATTTTATTAATTTTTGAAAAATGCAAGCCATAAAATGTGTTGTTGTGGGTGATGGGTATGTGAAAAATGCATATTGTATATAATAAAGTCCATAAATTACACAATAAATTTATTACAGTGTTTTGATCTAGTTGTATAAATACATGTACACATATATATGTATATATGTATTAAAGAATATTATATTCAGAAAAAAAATCAATCACAAACATTTACTTATGACATTTTAATTAATTATTTATTTATTTAGTGCTGTTGGTAAGACCTGTCTTTTAATTAGTTATACTACTAATGCATTTCCTGGTGAATACATCCCCACCGTGTAAGTTTTAAATATTTATATTTATATTAATATTTATTTTTATTTTTTAAAAAATAAATCTTTAATTTTACTTTGTTTAAATAGGTTTGATAATTATTCTGCAAACGTGATGGTTGATGGTAAACCTATTAACCTTGGTCTTTGGGATACCGCTGGTCAAGAAGATTATGACCGATTGCGACCACTTTCATATCCTCAAACTGATGTCTTTTTGATTTGTTTCTCGTTGGTCAGTCCTTCTTCGTTTGAAAATGTTAGAAGCAAGGTAAGCACTAATGATAATGATGTTAATATATATTTTTTACAGAAACTTGACTAATTAATAATTAATACGAATAATTGATATCATGTTTTATTTTGTTTTATTTTTTAGTGGTATCCCGAAATTACCCACCATGCTCCAAATATTCCAATCATTCTAGTTGGTACAAAATTGGATCTTCGAGAAGACAAGGACACTATCAATAAATTACGTCAAAAATCTCAATTACCCATCTCATATCCTCAAGGACTTCAAATGGCAAAAGATATTGCAGCTGTTAGATATCTCGAGTGTTCTGCATTAACTCAAAAAGGTTTAAAGAATGTATTCGATGAAGCTATTCGTGCTGTTCTTTGTCCTGCTCCAATACAAAGACGCAAGAAAAATTGCATTATTTTATAATCTAAAAAGAAGAATCCAATCATCATCTAATAGCAAAAAACCCAATGTGAGTAAAAAAAATATTTATATATTTTTTTTCTCTCTAATAGAATGATTTATTACATTCCTTTTTTTCATGTATTAGGTTACATCTTATCATTATCATTATCATTAATTTATTTTGATTGGGTTTAACATAATAATTAATTGTAAAAAGTCATAATAATTTATTTATAAAGTTCATGTAAATTTAATATGCATTCAGTAGTGTATTATATATTTATTATGTAACTTCAAATCTCAAGTTGTTTTAAATTTTTTTTTAAAAATACAATATTTTTTAACTTATTTTTATTTAACATAATAACATATAATACAAGGTATAATTTGTGGAATTTTAACGTATTTCCATCTATATATATTAATATATATATATATCCAAAAGAGAAAAAAAGAAATATTAAGCTATTTGTGTATATATAAGCGATAGTAATAGTAAAATTAAAAAGCAACGAAACGACTCATCAACAAAAAAGTTTATATTTATGTTTGATTTTTGTTTGACCTTTATCTCCTTTGATGAAAATGGCACATAACCCGATTTACTCTCTTAATATCTCCAGCTCTATATTCTTTACCGATTGCAATAAGTTCAATAGAAACGAGGAATATTGACCAAAAGTCGATTTTGAGTTAACAACAGTGGTATGTGTAACTCATCAAGAAGAACATTTTTGGCTTAGAAACCATACCTACTGCATATCAAAATAAGTAATGATTAGACCCGAGCCCCGAAATTTTTTACAAATCAGAAAATTTTGGGATAATCAAAATTTTATTATATATTTTTTATATCAAGCAATAGAAAAAC